CTGCTTCAAATCAGGCAAGCTCTTCTTGGCGGAAAAAGTAGAAACCGGTGCCATGCTGGACACCTCTTCTAGACAGCCGGACACCTCGCTGGGCTATGCCCGTCATGCATGAGTTGTGTTTGTTTCGGAGGCGGTCCCCCAAAGATTTTGACTGACAGCTTCTGAAGATTGGTGCTTGGACTGCGGAAGGAGACGACTGAGACTGTGAGGCAGGCCGTTTTGCAGATTCCAAAGCCTATTCAATCAATGAACCCAAGACCCAAGAAGCATTAAGGATGAGACTCGGTATTACAGTATGTCTACATTTGTTTTGTTTGTGTTTCTTGTGTTGTTTTGTAATCCTGGCCAAGCAGTTGCCTGATCTAGTGATCCTCCCAGCTGACCTCCGCTCTCCGATGTGTTGCAGTTGGCTCAAAGGCATCAATGGGTTCTTAATTTAGGTAAGTTGAGCCAGAGACAAGCTACGGATCTGTTCAACTGTTTGTGTTCAACTTACGCTGAAGTTCGAGAGAGAATGGAGACCTGCCCACTATACTTTCCCATATACGATGTTTGTTAGCCCCTCTATTTGGTCCAGAGGAGCATTCCGTTTTCGGTGACCTGCAAGTCCTCCGAACCAAACACATCTCTCAGTGCCGCAGTCGGCCTGCTGAATCTGATGAAGGTTAGAGCCTGAGATCGCAGCGAACACCTTTTCCTTGTGCAGCAGCAAGTTTTTCCTCCCATCCTGCGTGACGTTGTTGTAAGAGAGAGCCGTTGTTCAACTCTAGTTTACTGTGACACAGTCACTGTTTTGATTCACCCAGCAAGTCCAGCAAGTCTACGGACATGGAAGACTGATGAAAACCTGATTGGGGAGAAAGCAACAAAAGCACCCAGCGACGATAGGTGGAGGTTCTGGATGCCCAGCTAGAGATTCTGAGCCATCAGCTGGTGATTTTGTTCATTGCAGGTAACAACAGCACCAGACAAGGCAGCTCTGTGTGAACGATCCACATGCCAAGGGTTTGGGCTTAAAGTAGCATGCTTTCATCGACGTAGATGGAATGAGGTCTTCGGAAGTGGAACCTTTTTCCACATGGTTCCACTGCCCTTGAAAGACCGACCGACCCTGGGTCTCCGGTCGTACCTTCGTTTCGACAGGGGTGTTTTGGGGTGGGTGCCAGGAGGGTCCGGTCATACCTTCTGAGGTACGACTGGAGCCCTCGGGCGATGATGAAAAAGATTGTTCTGGGGTTGGATGAAGGACCCCCAATGGCCCACAGGCAGTCGCAGGCAGGCATGTAAGGGGTTCTGGCTCAAGAACCACCAGCTGGAGAAAACTATGATTGATCACCAAGTTCAAATGCATTTGGGTCACAATAAGCAGAGACCTTGGCAAATGCAATCGAGTTGCAGGCTGGCCAACATGAAAGCCATGCAAATCCAACATGCACTTTCAGTATGTTTTAGTCTAGATATGAGTATCAACATGCTTTATCGCAGTGTCCGAGCTTCTTGAAGACCAGCCGACCAGAACCCGTTCGGGAACCCGTTTCCTTCCACTCCAAGAAGCCCTTCCAAATTCCCGTTTCGCCATGGAGAGCACCACCACAACGGCTCCAGATGTCACCAAGTCATTTGGAATGAAGCATGCAGCCATGGGCGGGCTTGGATTTCTGGCTTGACATCCCACCAACCAGGGATATCTCTTGATTCATCCACCCATCGAGTCTCTACCCACGGTCACCCTGGTCGCCGGACCCGTCGATGCTGGCGGCGAAACCAATACGTTTGGAGAGAGATGGATGTGGCCAGAGGTGCTCCAAAGGGTCTGCTCAAGCTGAGAAAACACTAAACATTTGATGGGGTGCCGAATGTGCAGATCTTTTTGGCGTTGGAAGGCGTAGTTAAGGGGTGGTGTGCAGTTCAGGGGACGCTTGCATGCAGACGTTGCAGAGTGCAAGATGGACATGTAGCTGGACACGGGATGAGCTCACATTCCTCCAGTGTTGTTATTTGTTTGACCACGGGAGGCTTTGGAAAATGCTTTTTCCTCTGATGTGCAAGTATAGAAGTTCTGTGAACTATTCATGCTCGCTGACTCGCTGCTCTAAATAAAGGTTTCATTTGCTCTGAGAAATTCCATTTCAGAGTCGATTCATGAAAGTACTGGTTTTCAAGTGATGTCCAGTTTTACAAGTGGTGTTTGTACCTCCTCCCTCAACACACCACCTCCTTGATCGAGCGGTTGGTAGTTTTCAACTGTTCATCTTGGGAAATTGGGCAACACGACAGACTGTCGTACGTGGAGGGATTGCACCTTCTATCAAACAATGGACGTGGACTCCACATGGCTCCTTGGACAACCGGACGACCCAACAGAGCTTCTGGTTGGGTCATATTCTTATCCCACTTGTGTTGAATGTGGACACCTGGGCCGAAGCTGCATTCTCCGAGTGCACACTTGTACGAATGTTCCAGTCCAACGGTGCCCACCAGGCCGACCGAGGAGCCTACGCCGGCTGAGGCGCGTGAGCGCCACGTCACACTGAGCATGCCTTTTGGGGTGGAAAGTGTCTTCAGTTTCGGGAGGATTCATTGCTTCGATAGAAGACCCCTCAGAATCTTTGGATGTTGGTCAAACCGTTTCCTTTCATATCTTACTTTTCAGGGTCTTAAATGATCCATGGATATGGAGTATCAAATGAATTGAGGAGTCTTGAGGAGTTCACAAACAGAAAGTTCTGATTGGCGTTGAGAGTTTTGCTTGTTAATGGGTGTAGGATACCCCTGAGTATGCCACTACAAAAATTGATCAAAATGGTTAGGCTTGTCCTTTCTAAAATGGAGTATTCCTTTATAGAATTGGAAAACCGTAGCCCAAGCAGATTCTCAAGGGGGATGGTGCAGGAAGGTGTCTCAACTCAAAGATGTTTGACATTTTGGGGTGCCCATGGCTTGAACCACTGAATGGTTTCCTTCCAAAACTTGTGGATGGATTGTTTCTGAGTACCATGTTCTTTTTGAGGCGCAGCCAACGGTGATTTGTGTCAAACTTGGTGGGTGTGGCCCAGAGTGAAGAGACTAAGCCTGACTCAGCATGGCCTTGCATTGTGCCTTTGGAAAGACAGACATGAACATGTTCAACATCGATCGTATCAACAACAGAAAGGGGTTCTAGGGTGGCCAGGGATTCCCATGTGGGATACATTTGTTTGACTCACTTAGGGTCTCAAAATATAAGAGCCCTAAGCAGAAGCGTCCTCAAGTGTCAAGCGCTCGTAAAAACAGGTGAGGTATGACTTTAAAATCACTGAGTGGCGTCTTTTTTGGCGACTATCTTTGCTTTTGTTTGCATCGGCTTGGCGACCATTGTTCCTGCGCAGGCGGAAGCAACCGCGCCTGCAGCGACCCCCATCCCTGCGCCAGCTCGACCGAGTGTCAGTGAGCAGCAAGAGTGTCTTGCCCAAAGTTCGCGTCGGGTCTGTCGAACACACAGATGTCTTTTTGTGGCTCTGGTGTTTGGGGGGTCACACAAATGAGGGTGCTGTATAGGCTAGTTTAGTTTGGTCAATTGGTCAATTTCAGTCGCACATTTGCCAGACTGTCAAAGGTTTTACAGCTGGGGAAATCTGTGATTCGACATGCATTCACAGGAGTTTGATGTGGTTTGCAAAGACTCATACAGATGTTGTTTGATGTAGTCTGCATTTTTACACCGACACCCACAGGCCATGAAGGCGCACATCGTGGCGGTTCACCACACCTTTTCCACTACCCATGATTACATTGGAAGGAGAAGGTAGATCCCCACCCCCCACCATTGGAAGTGAAGGCCTTACATCGTGTTGATCGGGGGCGGGCTGTCCCCAGCATCTCCCCACCATCCCCACCGATGTTCGCCCTGCAGCCGTCATGGTAGGTCTCCGACCGACACCGTAACCGGTCGGTCAACCGGTCGGTCAACCGGTCGTTTTGATTCACAGCCATATCACGAAAGGTAGCCCTTTAGGGGATACCTTGAGTTTGTCTTGCGAAGCAAGTGTTGGGACGTCCGGGTCTAATAATTGATCGCTCAATTCAGACCCCCCCCACC